CCTCGTGATCCACCCGCCTCGGCCTCCCAAAGTGCTGGGATTACAGGCTTGAGCCACCGCGCCCGGCTTTTTTTTTTTTTTTTTTTTTTTTAATATACCAAAGGTCATTTGCTTTTGGGTTTTGTTTTTGTTTTTTTAAAGCGATAATGGAGAGCTTATTCTGGCCTTGTAAGGGTGCTTCATCTGGTGAATCGTGATGGATCTGAAAGTGGATAGATGTGATCATTAGAAACGGTTTAACTGAAGGCCGGGCGCGGTGGCTCAAGCCTGTAATCCCAGCACTTTGGGAGGCCGAGGCGGGTGGATCACGAGGTCAGGAGATCGAGACCATCCTGGTCAACACGGTGAAACCCCGTCTCTACTAAAAATACAAAAAATCAGCTGGGCATGGTGGCGCGTGCCTGTAATCCCAGCTACTCAGAAGGCTGAGGCAGGAGAATTGCCTGAACCCAGGAGGCGGAGGTTGCGGTGAGCCGAGATCGCGCCATTGCACTCCAGCCTGGGTAACAAGAGCGAAACTCCGTCTCAAAAAAAAAAAAAAAAAAAAAGAAACGGTTTAACTGTGACATTTTTTTTGGAGAACTTGTTTACTATGTTTCAGGCAGAGTGCCCTTAACTTGTCATCTCAGCCCTGTGAGGCGTGCACTGTTATCACCTCTGTTTTACACATGCAGAAATAAGAAATTTAGCCACAGTGGAATATGTAGCCCCAGGTCACTCACACAGCTTAGTATGAGTCAGAGTCAGGATTTGAATACAGATAATCTACTCAGGATCCTATGCTCTTAACCACCAGGACTTTGAGTTTTAGGGAAAGGCTGAGTTCTCTGTGACATCATCCTTGATTGTTAACTCTTTTTCAGATGGCAACTCTTGGGGAAGCTCGCTTAAGGGAAATGGAAGCCTTGCAGTCTCTCAGACTTGCCAATGAAAGGAAATTGCTCTCGCCTGTCCAAGATGCGGATATAAAAATCTGCCTATGTCAGAAGGCCCCAGCTGCCCCTATGATCCAGTGTGAACTCTGCAGGGATGCTTTCCACACCAGTTGTGTGGCGGTACCCAGTATTTCACAGGGCCCCCGAATCTGGCTTTGTCCCCATTGTCGGAGATCAGAGAAACCTCCATTAGAGAAAATTCTGCCCCTGCTCGCCTCTCTGCAGCGTATCCGAGTTCGTCTTCCTGAGGGAGATGCACTACGATATATGATTGAAAGAACCGTGAACTGGCAGCACAGAGCCCAGCAACTACTTTCATCAGGGAATCTTAAATTTATGCAAGATCGTTTGGGCTCAGGACTGTTATATAGCAAATGGCAAGCCTCAGCAGGACAGGTGTCAGACTCAAACAAGGTGAATCTGGACTTTGCTTGTTGGGTTATTGGAATTTTTGCCAAGCTCTGTACCTTTCTCTTGAACCTGTAGCTTTGGTGTTGCTATTCCCTTGGTGATCACTTTACTGTTACCAGCACCCACTTTACCTGTTTCTTTTAGTGTCCTCTGCTCCTAATAGAAGTTGTTTCTCAGGCATTCTGTTTTTATAGAACACATATTTACCTTTTTCACAGATAGAAGTAATTTTTTCGTTTATATGTGTGCTGACCCATATATATTTTACATATACATATATGATGTATCTTTAAATCTTTGCTTGACTAAAAAGTTTTTCACCCTGCTTCTTCTCATGTAAGTCAATTAGTAGAAAGGGAAAGTGCTTCCTGCCTCTTACCTCTTTTTGGAAGATAAATTTTTGGAAGAAGTGTTTGAGCACTATGTTATCTCAGAGGAGAACTCCTGGGTTTCACACCATTTGCAATCTTTCTGTTTTGACCATCACTGGATGGATAGAGTTTTCTGTCATCCTCCATAGATGGCTGCAGTAAAAGAATGTGAAGACAACAAAAAAGAACAATCAGGAAGGCAGTATTCAATTTTTTTTAATAAGGTTAATCTGATGTTTTTTGATACATATTTTCATACCAGAGATATCACAACTCTCTTGTGCTGTATGAACACAGACACATGGATTATATGAGTTAAATTGTTGCTAAGATCAGAGATGAGGACCAGAAAAAATAGTCTCTCTGTCCTATTTGTTTCCTTGGTTTTTTATTTCTTTGCAGGCTTCTGAAATATAGTGCCTGACACATAGCAGATGATGAATCAAATATTTGTTGCGTAGATGAGTTGTGGCATCTGTACACACTCCCAAAGTGGAGTCATTGGTGTTTTTTACCCAGGATGTGCTAGGAGTTTACCTTTCTTATTAAAGGGAGAGGACATAACTATTACTTATTAATTCATGTTCAAAGAAGTGTTTCCCCTAGCTCCTTTAATAAAACACTAAGGAAGATAGGGAGGTGGTTATGGATGATTTCTGACAGGTCCTCATTTGGTTTACTCAGGGGGATACATATGTGTTCATTGTATTTTAATCTTCAATAAGGAGAATTAGAAAAAGATTAAAAGGCTGTATGATCTGTTCTCACACTGAGAAAATGGCTTATTTCCCAGTGGTCTTTACATCTCTGAAATCAGTCCAAGTAAAACGGGAAAGATTAAAGGCTTGATCTTTGGGAGGATATGAGTTGATTTGGCCAGTTCTGAAATGCCAGGAGACTCTTCAGTAGGGGAAAATCAAGTTATTTTTTTTCCTGGTTGCCTGCCTGGGTAATGCAAGCTAGTGTCATTGGACTAATGGGAGTATTTTTAATCCTGAAGAGATTTTATTATAAAACCTTTTCTCTCTATTAGGTATCTCAGCCTCCTGGCACAACATCATTTTCCTTGCCTGATGACTGGGACAACAGAACCTCATATTTGCACTCTCCCTTCTCTACTGGATGGAGTTGTATCCCCCTCCATGGTTTGTATTTTGTTATTATTATGTAATGAGTTATCTTGTATTACTAGATTTTTGTTGTAGATGATCAAGTACCATAAAAAAGGACTTTATGGCCAGGCGCAGTGGCTCATGCCTAATCCTAGCACTTTGGGAGGCCGAGGTGGATATATCACCTGAGGTCAGGAGTTCAAGACCAGCCTGGCCATCATGGTGAAATCCCATCTTTAAAAGCAAAAAAAAAAAAAAAAAAAAAGACTTTATGGTGAAATGTAGGATATATAGGCTATTATGTATTTGCAGAATAGGGAAGGGATCCTATTGAAGGCTTCTAAATGGATAAATGGAAAGGAAAAGAGAGGAAGGCTTTATATCCATTGTCCTCGGGGATTAAAGGGTTCATGCCACACCAACTGATAATTAGACACTGGTGTCTAAGTCACAGGCTCCCTTGTTACTTCATTACTTAGGAGACTTGTGGAGAATCTTAGGGATAATCCACATTTGCTAGAGTCCTGATCCTTAGTCACAGCATCTCATTTTGTGTCTAGTAATGTGGTTAGAGCTCCTTGATCTACTCAGACTGTTCATGCTGTGGGCCACCATCAGTTTGTTTCTATGCTTTCTTTTTTTTTTTTTTCTTTTTTGATGGCCTATAGTATCATCTGATGTTTCTACGCTTTCTATTAGAAGCCATCAAGGCAAAAGTACAATCTCTTCATTAGCAATAAGTTACATGAGAAGGGGATTTAGTGTAGAATTAATACTAGTAATCAGAAGACTTAGGAAATGTAGTTTTGGTTCTGTTTATTGTGGTTTTAGGCACATTAAGTAAACCTCACTTAAACTGAAGGTAATTTGCAATTTAAGGAGCGGGAAGTAGTATGAAGGGCAGTCCTTCTGTTTGTCTGATAGATCCAAATGTGAATGTGAAACACCCTTTGTTGTTAACATTTTGATTTGGTCTGTCTTTAACAGGCGTTAGTCCAGATGTGAATGAATTATTGATGGAAGCCCAGCTGCTCCAGGTATCCCTTCCTGAAATTCAGGAACTTTACCAGACTTTACTTGCAAAGCCAAGCCCTACTCAGCAGACTGACAGAAGCTCACCAGTGAGACCCAGCAGTGAGAAGGTGAGTGTCTGAGAGGCTTCTGGGCAAGGCACAGTCTGGGGTGGAGGTATGCTTTTTAGTGTCATTCTATCTAAATAGCATGGTGAATAAGATGGTATCTTTGATCCAGAAAAGGATGCAAACTCTCTACCTCACATTTCTGCTCCTAAGACTGTCGGTGAGAAGATAGGTGCTGGATATCATCTGCTACGGTTTGGGTATGCAACCTGGATTTTGTTCCTGTTTTAAGTCACTGTGTGAATATTTATTTTCTTTTTAGCAAATGCCTCCTCATCATTCCCAAGTGGTAATGGTGAGAAGCAGGGTTATTTTCCCCTATAAGAGAAATAACTGTAAAGATGATTGGAAAGGCATTTTGGGATAAACTCTTAGAATCAAAGATATTCCTAGAATCAACATTTTAACATGCTTTCTTTTACTCCTCCAAACCTACCAAGACAGCTGGCGTGAGGACTGGGTGATTAGACTGACCCATTTTGGTTTTTTTTTGTTTTGTTTTGTTTTGTTTTTGGGGGGGGTGGGGGACAGAGTTTCGCTCTTGTGTTACCCAGGCTGGAGTGCAATGGCGTGATCTCGGCTCACCGCAACCTCCGCCTCCTGGGTTCAGGCAATTCTCCTGCCTCAGCCTCCTGAGTAGCTGGGATTACAGGCACGCGCCACCATGCCCAGCTAATTTTTTGTATTTTTAGTAGAGACGGGGTTTCACCGTGTTGACCAGGATGGTCTCAATCTCTTGACCTCGTGATCCACCCGCCTCGGCCTCCCACAGTGCTGGGATTACAGGCTTGAGCCACCGCGCCTGGCAACTGACCCATTTTGAATGCTGACTTACTTGAAGGATATTCCTTAATATTCTGTTTCTTAACATAGTTAAGGATACTGCTGCTGCCACTTCCTTCTGGTGAACTGACCGACCTATCACATTTAAGGCCCCTGAGAATACTACTGGGAAGCCTGAAGCTAAATTAGGGAAGAACTTCTCTAAAGATAGCATGAGGGCTAATGTTGGCATTTAGAATTTCATTTTTCATTATGATACCAAGTAGTATGGCATGATCGTTGAACGTATTCAGTTAATACACCTTACTCCTTACACCTTATAGGTGCCCACACCTTATAGGAGTAAGGTTATTAACTGAATACATTCAACGATCATGCCATACTACTTGGTATACATCCTTAAAGAAGGAAGATATTACTGTGGTTCCTCAGGAGCCTATAGGTCAAAGGATAGACATAAACACCTAGACAGAACCGACAGAGTAGTTAGTCATTCAGGGATTTGGTGAAAGGAAGACTTGGTGGGCCCCTCTCCATCTTCTGGTATTGGTTGGCTAATTTGAAGGCTAATCACGTCTTTAACATTCCTTTTCCCAGTGATCCTTTGGTAGCACTAACAGTGACAGGGGAAGGAAGTATGTTAAACCCAAACTGGTTAAGACTGGGAGGGGAGTGGTTAAGATGCAGTTTTTTTTTTTTCTGTGTAGAGTGGGGGATCATCTGATTTCTAATTTACATGTTCTCTTTAGCTTCACTACTTTTAGTCATAGGTGAACCATAGGCTAAAATTGAAATTTTCCTATCTTCCATCCAGAATGACTGTTGCCGAGGGAAGCGAGATGGAATTAACAGTCTTGAGAGAAAACTGAAGAGACGCCTGGAAAGAGAGGGCCTCTCCAGTGAGCGGTGGGAACGAGTTAAGAAAATGCGGACCCCCAAAAAGAAGAAAATCAAACTGAGCCACCCCAAGGACATGAACAATTTCAAGTTAGAAAGAGAGCGTAGCTATGAATTAGTTCGTTCTGCCGAAACTCATTCCCTGCCCTCAGACACATCCTATTCCGAACAGGAGGACTCTGAGGATGAAGATGCCATCTGCCCAGCTGTGAGCTGCCTGCAGCCAGAAGGAGATGAGGTCAGTGAGGTTTGGGCCATAGAGGACGTGCTTTCCCTTAACTCAGAAACCCTGTAAGCTAGACCTCATCTCGCTGGGTCTTTCTCTTCTGCTTATCTGCTTTGAGCTGATCTGAATGGATTGCTCAGCCTTCCCCCCACTGATATCTGTGCTCTTACCATCGTTCCTGGGTCTCCTCCCTTTTCTTGAAGAAACTCTTGTTCTTCCCTTTTTCCTTTTCTTGCTCTTCCAGCTTTCACCTTCCCGGCGCTAAGAAGGTGGGAGGGATGCTGATGTAATGCCCTTTGGCTTATCACAGGGCAGCGCTGTCTTTACCCCAAAGCAGACACGACTTGAAGAATGACTTTGACTCGGTTGCTTTGGCTAGGGGGCCAGCTACACTCATTTGGCTTAGCTGTTGTGCCAGAGGTCCCAGTGGTGGGACAGTGGCCGTTATTGGCAAATGGCCTGAATTTCTTGAGGCTGGACTGCCCAAGTTTGAATCCATTTTTTTCCTCTGAAAACCCCATCTTCCTGCTCTTTGTAACCAGGTGGACTGGGTCCAGTGTGATGGCAGCTGCAATCAGTGGTTTCATCAGGTCTGTGTTGGTGTCTCCCCAGAGATGGCAGAGAAAGAAGACTACATCTGTGTGCGCTGTACTGTGAAGGACGCACCAAGCCGAAAGTAAAAACACAAAAACAGATACCCCCCTGCCCCCCACTTAATGTAATTCAGGACTCCAACCAAGAGGATTTCTTCAAATCTCAGCAAAGCTACAGGACTGGTACTCAAGCCAGCCTGTAAACGGTGCTATTTCTATTCCTTATGGGATCATTTTTCCAGGACTCTTTGAAGAAAAGAAAAAACAACTAAAAAATTTTTTGACACTTTTTGTATTTTTTCCTTAAGAGCTGTTTGTGGTTGTTGAGGTTTGAAAAGCTGACTGTTTTTTGCAGGGGTTCCCACCAATTTGGAAGGCATTGAAGCTTGCACCTTTTCATGTACAGCATTAAAATTTTACCTCTGTCTGGGATTTACCAGCTTAAGAGTCCAACTCACTTCCAGTGCCCAGAAGGGTACCCACCAGAAATTCCAGTAAATCCTCATTTGAGGAAGCTCTCCCTTGTTTATTCCTTTACCAGATTGGGGAAATTTTTTAAGTTTTTCACTTTGGGGGGTTTTGTTTGTTTCTTCTCTTTATCCACTTTTCTTTTTCCTGGTAGACTAGGTTTATTTATCTGAGCAATAACTTCCGTGTTGGTTTCCGTGGCTGGAATTAAAACAAAACAAAACAAACTTCCAAACAGTGTGTTGGTGCTTTAGCAATTGGTTGATGTACAGAACACAAATGTCTAGTTTCTAGTGTCACTGATGAACTAGTGATGTAGAAAAGAGACTTCTCTGTAAGTAATTGCCACAGCTGTAATTTGGCTTTCTCCCTGCCCCTTTCTTCTGCCCCTATTTTTTGGTAGCTTGTATCAAATGTTACAGTTTATATTGTGGAATAAATCCTTCATCCTAACATAACACTAAATGCTGATTATTTAGAGCCATTAGAGCACAGCTGCTTCTGCCCCTCTCCAGTGTGGGCTTACACAGCCAGAAGGGGCTGCCTGCTTTTGCTTCTGCCCAACTGAGTTGCAGTGGCAGTGGATATTAGCCTGCAAACAACATTAGGGGATTCTTCTTTTGTGTCCTCCTCTGTTTGGTGGGCCATAGGCCTACAGCCCTCACTAACAAAGAAGCCCTCTGTCTTTAAGGACTAGAACCTGTCTTTAAAGCCATGCTCTTTTTACTAAAGCTTTCTCAGAATGTTGGCAAATCACTTCAATCCTCAAATCAGTCCTCCTCGTGGAATGATGCCATTATTATATTTGAGTTGACAGGAGAACTTGGTTTTAGGGTTAAGACGTTGGAAGGAAATCTAAGGAAAATTAATCTTCATAGAGGTCCAGGTTTAGTATATGTCTTGAGAGGGGACTTGTGAATTCCCAGGCTTTGCCTCCTTGTTCTCTTTCTCATTTCTTTCTAACTCTAGCTGTCATTACTGGCTATGGATAGCCCATAGCTATTTTCCTTGCTTTTCTTTTTTAAAGGGCTCTGTTCTGCAGTGGAGAAGACATTCCAGTGAACAGAACAGACTTTTGCTTACTTTTTCCTATTCTGTTGCCAGTATTTGTTTTCTCCACATTCTACAGCCATAAACCTGAAGATGAGTAAAATTGGTGGGTCTTAATAAAACAACAACAAAAACAGCAGTTTGTGATATAGCAGAGATTTAAATGTACTCTCCCCTTTTATGCACTTCAAATAATTAAATCTCTTTAAGAATGACTTCTAGTTGTCTGCAGTTTTCTGCAGTTGTTGTGATGTTTCTCCTCGTCTGATGGGGGTTCTGGGGCCAATGGAGAATAGTCTCCAGAGTACAATCTGGAATCATCGTGGTTTGGCCTTGTTAGTATTCAAATTCTTAGAACCCCCTTCCTCACCCCCAACATTGAAATATGATCCCAACTGTCCCAGTCCTTTCTTCTATTGAGAAATTAAGCTTAAAACAAGACTCTGCTGCTATAAAGCCACTGCTTATTTAGAGAGCTTCTGCCATCTAGTACGCACAACCTCTGCCCCCATCCCCACTAGTTTGTCTTCTTCACCTGTGGTTGGTGCACAGTCCCTGACAATAGCATCCTTGAGAAGATGGGATCTTTGTACCTGTGAGTGAGGCAGAAAAGGTAGGCATGTGTGTATTTGAACCACACCCTCCCTGGATGAGAACCACTGACCATTTTATATGTGATGATGCTGAAGTTAAAGAGAATGTCAGTTGCCCAAAGATATACAACTAGTAAACAACGAAACCTGGGTTTTTTGTCTTCCAGTTCTCCTACAGTGTTGCTCCTACCTTGTACACCATCACACTACCAGTGAACACAGAGACACGTTTACTTTCCAGTTTATGCCTTGTTCGTTGTATCCCTAAAATAACTACAGACTGACGTTGTGATCTGAAAACCATGTTTCATTGTGTGTTAGCTCTGAAGCTGGCCTGTACCAGAGAAACCTCTGAATTTGTAGGGAAACATGATAAAATGCACACAGAAACTGACATTTCAGTTTCCATGTCAGTAGTCCTGCAGGTATGTGAGGTGGGAGAGGGGAAGGGCTGTGTTAGGTTAGAGCCTGAGCCAGGAGGAGGGTCAGCGGGTAAAGAGAATCTGGTGAACTCTGCACCAAAGGGTAGAGAAAGATTATGTAATTTGGACTGGCTTTACAGGAAGTTGACATCTTTACAGCTTCATTTCAGTATCCTGGAAGATGGGATTCATTTTTCTAACTCAAGGGTAACCTAAAGGAGAGATGCCACTTGTGGTGGAGGTTGGTAAAAACCTGAATCTCCCTGCTTCCTTCTCCAGTGCAGAGCTTAAGAAAATGACAATAAAGATCTTGAGGCTTTGGGTATTTTAGCAAGGTGTCTGAAATGTACCTGATTTTGCCATTATACCCATCATCAAAAGCAACATGGCTCTTTGGGTGTTGGTGTAAGATTAGCCTGAGAATAGAGTAGATGTCTACCTGGAAGAGGGTGAAACATGGCTCTCTACCAATCCAGGTGGTACTCTGAAGGCCCTTTGTAATGGGTTTCCGCCTCTTTTTATTCCACTTAAAAATCTTGATGGATATTTGGCAGTCTGTTAAGACCTGCTTCTGGCTTAGGGCAGGCATTGATTGGTATTAGTACCCATGGGTGTTTTTCTGGGTTCAGTCTTGCCTATGTTTCTTGCCATATAGCACAGACCGGAATGGATTCCAGATGCTATATACGTGTACCAGGAGACAGAATTGGACAACAAGGATTTTAAGAGTCATTGCCCATTGTGATACATTAAGCCAGAGCTGATTATTCATTATCAGACTGACTACATGCTAGTCCATGCTAGTGTCAGCCTATATTAAAATAGTCTTTCCTTGCCACAGAGCTGCAGAAAACACAATCCCTTCTGATGAAACGTTGCTTCTTGGGAAGAAGAGGTGAGGAAAGCAATGAAGATCCCAGTGTCAGCCTTTATTGAGCTATGTATGAGGGTCAGGTCCCTCAATTCCTATTGACTATGAAGCAGCTGAGTGCTGGCTTCGCCCTCTTTGCCCCTTTGTCACCAGTCCTTTGCATGTGGCTCTCTTAAGCCTCTCAGCTTTCTCTTGGGAGGCTTCATGTGTAACTTATAACAAATGTTTCTGAAAAGCTGCCTAAAGAAAAAAAAATGTATATAGTAGGAATTTGTATAAAGTAATACTGTTGTAAATCCTGTCTGAGGGTGTAAAGAATCAATTTGTAAAGTGTATATTTTCACTTCTCCCTTCAAGTTTGTGTGAACAAGTTTTCATGTTTCAATATTGCTTACATAGGAATGCACCTTACGTTTTTATCAGTATAAATGGAACATTTAAAGCCAGTCAACAACAGCAGATAATCCAGCTCCCTGTTTGTGTTCTGGGTTAATTGTACAAGGATGAAGAAAGTGGTGAGTTTGGGTGAGTTTCTTACTTTCAGGATAACCGGCTGCATTGCAATAATGGAATGGAATGGTGAGGTCATTTGACCTGTTCCAGGTGAGTGGAGGCCAAAGAATATTCTTTCTGCCTCCCCTTGGATGGGAAAATTGAGAAATTTAAAAGTTGCCCTAAAAAAAAAAGTTGCCCTT